ATAATTAACTGCATATTTTAGATGAAAAGAAAATTGATCTACAATGACTGATCAAAAATTAGGTGAAGGTTGTTCACGAGGCGACTTTACGGTACGTTACGGGTTCGTAGCATTGTTTTTCATCATTCTTTTCCTTAGATTGTGTACTTGGGAGGTTAACTTATACTGAATTTCTGATCAATGAGATCATCCCATAACGATTTCATGAGAAACGGGGGGAAATGTATGTAAACCATACCCTGTCAAGAATCTGCCTTCATCAAAAGGTAACTTAGTTATAATTTTTGCGTCCGCCAATGAAACTTTTTTTTCATGATTGGCAGTTAAACCAGCAAGATTCGATTCCCCCTTTTTTCACCGAAGAGAGAAACGTCAAAATCCAGTGCAAAGAAACCATTTCAAGAATGATTTGAAAAATCAAGATTTTAGTTGAACCTTTCATACATTTCCGCGAATCCATCTCCACAGAATGGGAAGCTTCACGTTGACAAAGAAGATCCCACGAGAAGATACGCAAGACGATGAAATCATCGAAGAACTAGCCACGATTTCAGGCATCGAAGATCTCCGTACTTTCCTCATACAACGCTGTCGACAGAAATTGGCCGCTTGGCCAGCTCTATTGGCACGCAAATGGATCTCTGCAAATTTCATGCAGGGCAAATCGAGAAAACAGAAAAGCGACCCCGTCTCAGCGGGTGTTTCAGGAAACCCCGAAGAAACTGGCTTTTCATTCAGAGTGATCCAGTGGAATCTCTTGTCTCAAGGTAATACAATGTTTTCATATTTTTCTCGGAAGTGCTTTAATTGATCGTCAAGAGGGTTTTGATTTTGGAAAAAAAGGGTCAAATATGTGGGGACCTTTCAAGGGTTTTCGTTGGTTCCATCAATCCTCTAGGAACAGATCTATAAAAATGAACTTGACGAAATTTTGCAATTTTGGTTGAACATGGCCTAGGAGTTTCAGCAAAACGTCACAATATTCTGCTAATACATGTACAGTAGTCAATTATTGTAGATTTTGTTCTCCAACATTGTGCGAAATCCAATTCCTGAATTCACAGTATACAGTATTCTTCTGTAAAATATTCCGCAACCATTTATGCGTGAAAAAATTAGACCTCTTATCGAAATAGACATCAATGATTAAAAAAAAGGAATACTGAATTTATAAATCATTTGCACGCGATCGCCTTCACCTACGGTTCCTCTGCTCATGGAACTGCATTTCAAATGAAAAAAAAAAAAAAATTCGCAACAATTTGGTCGATCATCTATTCAGTATTTTCCTGAAGTCATTTTCAATTCTCAAGGGTTTCATGCTCTTTCCGCTCAATACAAGCACATTATTCATTAGTTGAACTTTTCCCTGCAATGAATCCGTATTCGATCCGATTCATGTTATACGCGTATCAAAGGTATACGAACGCGCATAGCCAGAAAATAACCATACCATCCTTACTCTTGCGCAAAAAAAAACACGATAAAAACCTTTTCATCTAAAATTATTGAAACACATTGAGAGAGATTACGAATGTATCTTTTTTTGCCACAGCACTGGGAACAGCACGGGACAGCTTTGCCATGTGCCCACCCGAAGCTCTCGACTGGGAACATCGAAGACATCGGTTGCTCGAAGAAATCCTTGTCCACGACGGCGACATCTTATGCTTCCAGGTAAGAAAATCGAAAAAAAGCATGGAAATTCCTAATAATCTCAGACTAAATATATATCATTCATGAATAAACGACGAAATTTTCAGAACAGTAATTAAACTCAAAATAATGCCGGAAGGAGTCTGCCCAATAACGCCTCGGATGCAGTCCTCGCAATTGAAAATTCTTTCATATATGAAATAGTAAATTACTCTGATGAATATACAATGCTTACAAATCAACGCCCCGTGTAATTCTGAACTTCAAATTGTAAAGGAAAAACATTCAAGCAGGGTTGCGTTACAGAAAAAATAAAGAAATCTTGCTCCACCATTACAATTAAGGTAATCTGAAACCGAAGAAAATCCAAAGCAGGAGAAATCGATTCCTTCGCCTCAATTGAATTCTCCGCTGCCTACGAATAAGTAACCGGGGACCAATCAAAATACATACGGAGAAAGGGAGAAGAAAGAAAAAAAGCACGAGAGCATTGTACAAAAATGCGAACACGGAATCGAGAATTAAGTCTGTAGAAGGAAGAATCAAAAGCCGCGCATGAGGAAGAGGAAATTCCTTCCCTCCTTTAACAAAACTCGCAATTCAATCGAATCCAAAAAGGAATCCTTTAAGGAGAAAATAAATAAATAAATAAAACTTGCCCCGTCTCGTTGGACCGTAAATAATCAGCAAGCCCGCATTTATCCAATTGTCTACTACCTTCCTTTCCCACTCGTTTCTTTTCCTTCTTTTTCATGAATTCATTATTATTTTTTTCTCTACTACCTGGGGTTTGTTCAGTGGTAAACATTCTTTCCGACACGTTCCAGGAAGTGGACCACTTCAATTTCCTGGCAAAGCACCTAGAACGGCTGGGATACAAGGGGTCTTTTGTGCCCAAGCCCGACTCGCCGTGCATTTACATCCCGGAAAACAATGGACCCGACGGCTGCGCAATATTCTACCGGACGAGCAAATTCGAGCTGATCTCCGAACACACCCGAGTCATTGAAGTTTGGGGCGTGCAAAGCAACCAGGTTTGCTTAATTTCTACATTGACATTGTTGTGCGGGCTGGTTCTAGCAGGCAAACGAACCTTGGACACCTATTCTCGCAGCGCCGCAAATATCGAACGCACCCGGTTTCTCTGAAAAGATGTGCACAAGTTTTGTTTCCTCGTGAGGTATATTCCGCACAAATCTTTGAAANCAAGGTAATACAATGTTTTCATATTTTTCTCGGAAGTGCTTTAATTGATCGTCAAGAGGGTTTTGATTTTGGAAAAAAAGGGTCAAATATGTGGGGACCTTTCAAGGGTTTTCGTTGGTTCCATCAATCCTCTAGGAACAGATCTATAAAAATGAACTTGACGAAATTTTGCAATTTTGGTTGAACATGGCCTAGGAGTTTCAGCAAAACGTCACAATATTCTGCTAATACATGTACAGTAGTCAATTATTGTAGATTTTGTTCTCCAACATTGTGCGAAATCCAATTCCTGAATTCACAGTATACAGTATTCTTCTGTAAAATATTCCGCAACCATTTATGCGTGAAAAAATTAGACCTCTTATCGAAATAGACATCAATGATTAAAAAAAAGGAATACTGAATTTATAAATCATTTGCACGCGATCGCCTTCACCTACGGTTCCTCTGCTCATGGAACTGCATTTCAAATGAAAAAAAAAAAAAAATTCGCAACAATTTGGTCGATCATCTATTCAGTATTTTCCTGAAGTCATTTTCAATTCTCAAGGGTTTCATGCTCTTTCCGCTCAATACAAGCACATTATTCATTAGTTGAACTTTTCCCTGCAATGAATCCGTATTCGATCCGATTCATGTTATACGCGTATCAAAGGTATACGAACGCGCATAGCCAGAAAATAACCATACCATCCTTACTCTTGCGCAAAAAAAAACACGATAAAAACCTTTTCATCTAAAATTATTGAAACACATTGAGAGAGATTACGAATGTATCTTTTTTTGCCACAGCACTGGGAACAGCACGGGACAGCTTTGCCATGTGCCCACCCGAAGCTCTCGACTGGGAACATCGAAGACATCGGTTGCTCGAAGAAATCCTTGTCCACGACGGCGACATCTTATGCTTCCAGGTAAGAAAATTGAAAAAAAAAAGCATACAAATTCCCAATAATCTTAGACTAAATATATATCATTCATGAATATACGACGAAATTTTCAGAACAGTAATTAAACTCAAAATAATGCCGGAAGGAGTCTGCCCAATAACGCCTCGGATGCAGTCCTCGCAATTGAAAATTCTTTCATAGGTGAAATACAGTAGTAAATTTCCCTGATGAATATACAATGCTTAAAAATCAACGCCCCGTGTAATTCTGAACTTCAAATTGTAAAGGAAAAAAATTCAAGCAGGGTTGCGTTACAGAACTGATAAAGAAATCTTGCTCCACCATTAAAATTAAGGTAATCTGAAACCGAAGAACATCCAAAGCAGGAGAAATCGATTCCTTTGCCTCGATTAAATTTTCCACTGCCTATGAATAAGCTGAATAAGCAAGAAGTAACACGGTAACCGGGGACCAATCAAAATACATACGGAGAAAGGGAGAAGAAAAAAGAAAAAAAGCACGAGAGCATTGTACAAAAATGTGAACACGGAATCGAGAATTAAGTCTGTAGAAGGAAGAATCAAAAGCCGCGCATGAGGAAGAGGAAATTCCTTCCCTCCTTTTACAAAACTCGCAATTCAATCGAATCCAAAAAGGAATCCTTTAAGGAGAAAATAAATAAATAAATAAAACTTGCCCCGTCTCGTTGGACCGTAAATAATCAGCAAGCCCGCATTTACCCAATTGTCTACTACCTTCCTTTCCCACTCGTTTCTTTTCCTTCTTTTTCATGAATTCATTATTTTTTTTCTCTACTACCTGGGGTTTGTTCAGTGGTAAACATTCTTTCCGACACGTTCCAGGAAGTGGACCACTTCAATTTCCTGGCAAAGCACCTAGAACGGCTGGGATACAAGGGGTCTTTTGTGCCCAAGCCCGACTCGCCGTGCATTTACATCCCGGAAAACAATGGACCCGACGGCTGCGCAATATTCTACCGGACGAGCAAATTCGAGCTGATCTCCGAACACACCCGAGTCATTGAAGTTTGGGGCGTGCAAAGCAACCAGGTTTGCTTAATTTCTACATTGACATTGTTGTGCGGGCTGGTTCTAGCAGGCAAACGAACCTTGGACACCTATTCTCGCAGCGCCGCAAATATCGAACGCACCCGGTTTCTCTGAAAAGATGTGCACAAGTTTTGTTTCCTCGTGAGGTATATTCCGCACAAATCTTTGAAACCTTAGAAGGCTTCGGCGGAAACTTTTAGCAAGTGTTTCTTGAGCTCTTCTTCGAGAAACGATTTTGATTTATTCTGACTTTCCCAAGCTTTAAAACTAACAAAAACACAACCCTCGGAAAAAAGAAAACAAGTACAGAACCGCACGGAAATTCGCAGGAAAACTGACGGAAAACGTTCCCTAATGACCCGCAAATACTCTATATAACATGTACATTTTACAACTTGAAAACTAATACAGCTTCAAGCCCTTTTGAGGATTATACAGGTGAACCTCGATAAATCAAACCTCCCCAAGCCGAATGCTGTACCTCCCCATCTCAAATTTTCTTTAAAATTCCCTTCGAGAAAAATGCATACGGTAGTATTAAAAATTCCAATAACTCGACGGTTTTCCCCTTCAAACTTCAGAAACTCGAATTTTCTGGAAGAATTCTGTCCTTTTTGTGACACAGGAAAGGGAAACGCACTGAACATGTAACTTGATGTTTTATTTTTCAAAGAAGTGGAATAATAATTGGGCAAATGAAAGCCTTGCCATCAAGATAGAAAGAGTCCCTTATTTTGGACGACTATAACATTTCAGTGAGTTTGTTAAACGAAGCAGAGTCCATTATGCGAAGGAGGCAGAAAAAAAAACGGCGGCAGTCCGAGTCCATCATCAGACGTACCACTATACTCTCTCCCTTCATTTTTATGCTGTACTCTAATTTTGAACACAAACATTTTTTTTTCTCAGGTCATCATGGCGACCACTCTCCGGTGCATCCCAACGTCCCGGGAAATCTGCGTCGCCACGACGCATCTCAAGGCAAAAGACGGCGCCCTCCTCGCCACCATCCGCCATCAAGAAGGCCTCGACGTGCTCTCCTTCCTCCGCCAGGTGGCCGACGGACGCCCCATCATCGTCACCGGCGACTTCAACGCCGCCCCCACCGAACCCGTCTACGCAGTCATGACCGGCACTTCTCTTCGTTCCGCCTACGCCACGTGCACAGGCTCAGAGCCCGACTACACCACGTGGAAAGTTCGGGAATCCAGCATGGCAGAGAATGCGGAACACGAAGAAACAGTGTCAACGTTGGACTACGTGTTTCACTCGAAACGTTCGCTACAAGTCGACGCCGTGCTGGGTTTCCCCGCAGGAGAGGAAATGGGACCCGAGCGACTACCTTCGCTCAAGTACGCGTCGGATCACTTGAGTTTGGCGTGCGATTTCCGACTCTCGACTCGAGGACACAGCGACGAGCTGGACGACGAAGTCAACGACGACGAGGAAGGCTCGGAAAATCCGGAAGCCGGTCCGGGGCAATTCGTCCCGCCGTATTCCGCATTCAAACGACAGCAGTCCAGGCAATAAAAAACCGCGGCACTGGACTTGTAAATATCCCTTCCGTGTCTGTCAACGCATGTGATTTTTATTTGCGTGTTCTTTTTTTTTCCGCGTCTCCTTTTCGTTCGTAATTTTTTGTATTTTATTGTGCGTACAGCTAGTTAGTTGGGTTCGTCTGCGATGAGCATCGATGGGTACGCAGAGCGCAATTCCGGTACAAAACTAAAAATAAATATTCCCATACCTCGAAATTAGACACACGGGATAGAAGATAAGAGAGAAGACCAAATTCTTGAAGAAAATCTCGAAAAAATTGACACAAGATCACAGTTTTTAGAGAGCAGAACATACAGATTATCTCGAAAAATGCTAAAAAAAATAACCTGACAAGATATCAACGACGACCCAGAAGATCTTGGAGAGTAACAAATCCCTGGGACGCCCTCATTAACATTTCTTCCGAAGTTCGCGATGAGCTCTTCCTGTGCTTCTCATGAAATCAAATTTAAATTAATTCAACATTAGTATGTCAGTTTCCGAACGCATCTTACAGTGATCTTGATTTTTTTTAAAGAAATTTTCACGTAAATTACGGTCAATCCCGATAAGATTCAAATGCTTGAAATGTAACGAGGCTTTTTATTCCTCTCAGTGACTTGAAAATCTATACAGTACCGTTAATCAATGCAAACGTCATTAAGAATTTAGTGCAATTAACCTGATCGCGCAGAACTTGGTAGCAATTGTGTCGGGAAATGCATACGCTATCTCGAAATGAAATTTCCAGACAAGAAAATCCGTTCTCGTACGATTTTCTTCATACTCTTGAGCCTTCACGTACCCCTCAGAAACAATGACGATCGCTGAAGATTAGAAAAAAATGGAAAATTCTGATTTACCCAGGGTATAAAATGAGAGCGGAAAACAGAACAGTTATTTAACGAAGAGATGCTTCAGAAAAAAAAATTGAAAGAAATGAGCAGAATCACGATACATTTCGAACAAATTATCTTTTGCAGCGTCGAATGTTGACTCGAATTTTTCAAATTGAAACTGTCCCTCGCGGCAGTAAAAAATAAATCTGAACTTGTTCTTTGGGAAATTCACCAGCAAAATCCGTTTCGGAAAAAAATTGGATGGAACGTTTTTCTGGCGCTTACTGAATGTTCTCCTCGGTTTATTTTCGATACGTCAAAACTGCATCAAATTTCTCGGCGCAGGCTTCAGCTGGCAGCAAAAATTTCAAGATGCTTTTTGTAATTTTGAAAAAATGTGCTTGAAAAAAACCTTTGTCCATTAAAAGAAGTGCCGAATTACTCGATAGCATTTCCTAAATATAGAAACATGAAGTTACGGATATCATGGATATTCGGGTGATCATGTTTAAAAACTTTTTAAAGACCATAATTTCCTTTGCAATTTGTGCACTGTTCAGCGGAATGATGCTCGAGAAAAAAAAAACGGAAGACATTCGAAATCACCCTCGCTCAGTTGCATTCGTCCCATTGTTGCTTTGTTATGCTTTAATCATTGTAGCTTAGAATATCGTAGCATGTTGTAGCATTTTTTTTCGGCCAATCGCTGACCTAAGGCAGATTTTTTTTTATTGAAGTGATGCGACATCGGATCGAGGCGATTTTTCAGAGAAAGCGAGAGAGTTTTAAAGACAGTGGACGGATGAAGAAGCAGCCTCTCACAATCAACGAACGAGCAAGACGTTCAACCAATGTAATCGAAAGTAATGGAAAAAACAGTAGAACATGTTGCATTTTTCCTCATCTTCACAATGCTCTTTTTCTTTATGGCATTCATCGAAATTCCGAGTGTTCAGAATAAATGGGTTTACTTCTGGGCCAAGTTACTGCTTCCAGTTTAATCTTTTCGACGACGCCTTCTCGAATTACCGTACAGTATATTCTACGCATCATCGCGAATTTCGGATACATCAGTAAATGGCGCATTTCCAGCACACGATATCGTTGGCATTTCAATCATTATATATTGTGCTATTTAACGAAATACAACCCGGTTTAAAGAATTAATTTTGCATCCAGATGACATCGAATTCCAAAAGATTGACAAGTCTTTGAAAATGTATGCATTGTATTCGAAGTTCGGTTTTAAAGCTCGCAAAACATTGTGGAAATACTTTATATTAGTCCATGAACATAAATAAATATCGCCGAACTATTTTATGTCGAGAGGGCATACAATAATTCGAAACCTGGATGAATGTCGATTTCTCCAAAGTGATAGAAATTTTTAGATACTGTACAACGAACCAAGTAACAATCAATTTTAATTTCCTTCCCCCCAAAAACAGAGATTCAGTTAGACTGTCAATAAATTTACTCGAAGTACTAGATGTCGAATTTTACATGATGTCGTTGAATACTAGAGCCAGTTTTGAAAATGACTAGGTTCACCAGGACCCGGATAAAATATCGTCAAGCCCAGCAGAAGAGTGGTAAAAATACTGTACTTCATCTGAAAATTTCAACTGCAAGACGTGACTGAATTGAATGAAGCAAAAAATCACTCGGGAAAATCAAAAATAAGTCGGTTTCGCTTCAGACATAGCGTAGTTTCAACTATTTAATTTTTAGCGTTTATTTCTTTATTCTGGAAAATAATTTATATTCCTCAACAGACGCAATGTAATCATTTTATTTCTCACGCTTCAGATAAAAACGCATGAAACGCGCACCACTAAAAAACGGAAGTAAACGTACAGTGCGTTTACCGGGAATTTCACCGTTTCCGGAAACACCGACGTTCTCATGATACCAATTATTTTTCGCGGCTCAGTCCAACATTATAGCATCTCACCTTGACTTTTTCGCGATTGCGGCAACAGGAAAATTAACGCAACGATTTTTACTCTTGTCACGCTCAACCATCACCGTTTCGCCTTCGGGACTTAGAATCCACTACGCACGTGAACAAGACATAATCAACCACAGGACCCGGCTTTTAAAAATAATACCACATACTTCAGTGACCGAATACAGTTTTTTTTAAATTGGAAGATTCTAATAGAAAATATTTCAATAATGTCCTGACGATAAGTATTGTAAATATTTCCTTAAATCTTGAAGAATGATATCTCGTATTATGAGTCGATATACAGTATAAGGAAATACTGTATATTAGTTCAAGTTGAAAATACGAAATGTATACCCACACTCTGCCTCCTCTAAAATGTATCACAATTCTTGACATGCCTAATCAAATCCCAAATAACCAAGAGTTCCGCTGAACGTGATCGAAAGATTTTTTCTGAGCTTGAAAAACTCGCTTATAAAACGTCTCGTTCCATCGAGCATTTTCTGCCATCTTGTCAAGTTCTCCGCCGAACGGGCATCAGAAAATCAAGAATAAATGGAACATTTATCTAAATGAAACGCCTTTTCAAGTTGTATATTCCTACATCGAATCCAAATCGTCACATCTTCGAAAAGCTCGAGTTCACGTTCTACAAGGTTGAAATACAGTGAGACCCCCACATGCGGACGCCTCAACCTGCGGACGATTCGACTTAGGGACACTTTCCTTAAAATTAAAAATGACCCAACCTGCGGACACTGACTCGATCTGGGGACATCAAAATTTTCAGAAAATCAAATTTTTCAAGCCAAATTACCAGGAACAGATATTCAGAACCATAAGATGGTAAGATCTATGTGACAAAAATTGTTTTAAAATTCTGTCATCATTTTCCCCTCCATTTAGCTAATTTTAAAAATTATCCCAAGCATAGAGATTCTCAAAAAAGAAGGGATTTCCTTCTCTTGTTGTCTAATTTCATTTTTGCAGGAAATGCTAACATCTCAATGTTCAATAGTGTACAGAGGTACAACATTTTATCCTGTATGTTCCTAAGAAACTGTTGAAAAAACCTTATTCTCAACTTTTTTCTTGACAAAAAGCTAAGTTTTATAAGTTAATTTCAAGAAGGCTAGATAAAAAAAGTGGAAAATTTCCTCTAAGAAAAAAACATCTGGAATAATCAGGAATGTGCCAACTGTAGAGCTCAAAAAGAAATCAAAGAGATGCCACAGCTGTAGAAGAAAGGAAGAGAAGAGAACATTTGCTGAATTGATGGATCTCAACATTCAGCATTAGCACAGAAATTGTACATTTTGTGAATTTTTCATGTCCCCAATGCTCCAAATTTTATACATGAGTTGAAAAACACTGATTTAATAATTTTTTCATCAATAAAATTTTTTTCCTCAATTTCAAAAAGGAATTTTGATCAATATTTCTTTCCAGAAAACACCAATTCAAAATTATATAAGGCAAGTCTATGGGAAAACACGACTCGACTTAGGGACATTTCGACTTAGGGACACTCTTGATACACCAATTACGTCCGCATCTTGGGGTCTTACTTTACGAAGAGCTTAAAAAATACAAGTTGCGACCAGAAAAAAAAAGGACACCAGCAACAAAAACTGTATTATCCAAAAATTCCCCATTTCAGAGCACGGCAAATCGTTTTAAAAAGCATGTTGATGCTTTTTGAATTCAATTCACGCGGAACGTGTTCATTGTCGCTTTAAAACAATCGTTGGATTCCAGATGAATCCACGAATATTTTATTTCTTTCCAGGCTAATAAAAATAAAACCTAAATTGCTTAGATGAACGCGGTTTCTCGGACACGCAGTCAGGAACCACGCCTGAAGGGCACGAAGTGATTGCTTCTTACGTAACACTTGATGATCGCGTAGGAACGCAAGCGAAATAATCGTCACCTCAGACAGAATCCTTTCACGAGAGATAAAAGGCAGTAAAAGCGCAAAATAAAAATAAATTTTCACCATCATCCAAATGAAGTACAGTACTCTCACGCGATAATGAAAAAGCGAAAAAGCTGCCTTCAAGATCAGTATGCACGATTACGTATCGAGCCAAGAAAGCGCAATTCCGTTTCAAGATTGAACGAACTGTAACTGGAATGTGTAGGATGATCCATTTGGGACCGAACTGACGATAAAAAAATTTAATATTTCGGGGAGTCGACAACTTATCACTTGAAGTTTTTCTCTAGAAGTGTTGCACACAAAGTTGTAACACTGAGGAAGATGTATCCCGTCTTCATCTTGAAAAAAAAAAAACATCGTGTTCGGCACTCGGAGAAGATATTTATTACAGCATTTTGTCTCTCAAGCAAAATTCCAGATTAATCATTTCATTCTCGGGCGCCAGGCACAAGACAGTCACAGACAAAACTCCTTCATAAAATCCTTTCAAGACGCCGAAAACATTGTGGTTCCATCAAGTCGTGTTAAAAACCCTTGTACAGTACGGTATTGTAACAACTTCGTTCAACACAAATTCCATGACTGTAATTTTGGATATCCACAACTTGAAGCAATATTCCCGCCCATCTTGCAAAAAACATCGTGTTCGGCATTCGGAGAAGATATTTACAGTATTTTGTCTCTCAAGCAAAATTCTAGATTAATAATTTTATTCTCGGGCGCCAGACACAAGAAAGTCGAAGACAAAAAATAAAATCCTTTCAAGACGCCGAAAACATTGCGGTTCCATTAAGTCGTGTTAAATACCCTTATACAGTATTGTATCAACTTCGTTTGACAAAAATTTCATGATTGTAATTTTGGATATCCATAACTTAAAGCAATATTCCCGTCCATCTTACTGGTGATCGCCCTGGGTAAATGTATTCATTAATAAAAAATATTTCACGAAGATTGCTGTGGGACGTTTGAATTAAAACAATAAAGTTTTGAAATCCAGAAAACATTGTCACGCATAAATAATACTAGGGAATTATATAAAACTTCCATCATGGCAGTCAAGCGACATTTATCAAAAGGCAAAATTCGCAAGAGGGGGGAAAAAAGTAAAAAACATTCTACCCTTCCTCCCAAAATATCACGCACGAGTAGTTTTTATGACGTTATTCCGAGGTCACTTTCAACAAGTGAAATCTTTCTGAAACTCAACGCTTCTGAAACATTAAAGACGACCTCGCACGTCAACAAATCAGACTTCTCGGCGCGGTGCTAGTGAAAATACTTTTGCCGAGCATCCGGACTGAATGCTGAAAAAAAAAAAACATCACACACAAGGCCACATCAGGAATTAAGAAAAGGAAAAGTGGAACTGACCTTAGATAAATCAAGCATGACCCATGGCAGCACAAAACTTTATTTAGGAAATAAAATTCCTAAAAACAAAATTTTCATGAATTTAGAATCTATAAGATCTCCAAAAAGTCGTCATGCAATGCACAGAGAAGAGGCAAATGACTTGAAGGATTTCTGCACAGTTTTTCATTGCATAAGATACGCTTCCGAATGAGAAAATGTAAATAAACTCAATATCATCGACAAATTGAAACCATCCGGAAAAATAACAGAGAGAAAGTAATATTTTGAATTTCCAGTGAAAATAAACGCAAATTTGTTTTCTGCTTTTATAGTCAACGATGAACAAGGAACTTGCCGATCAAGTCAGAATGCGCGATTTCCCACGAATCACCCCAATCAACGCGCAATTTTTTTTTGCGTAATCAAACAAGCATTCACAATCTGAAGTCGTACGAGGGGTTTCACGAAAATCTTTTGAATCATTGCAATTGGGTAAAGATAAATATAACTTTCCAAAATTTTCCAGTTCCGTTAAATTACTTTCCAATCCGCCCAGAAAAGGTTAACCAAAAAGATTTTGTTTTGTGTTCCGCGATAATTTCTTGCACGTAACGTTGGGTGAACTCTTTTAATTTAAATTTTCCTTCAAGTTATTTTAGTCATGAATCCTGAGAGATTCGAATATCGAATGAAAAAGTGTTGCCTCAAGTTAATATCAACTAGCCTCATTGAAGTCTAGGGGCTTGCGGGAATTCACAAAAAATAAAGTTTGCCCTCATAAGTTACACACAAGAAAATATATTCTGGGAAAGATTTGCAGAGAAGTTTTCGGAAAAATGTGGGCCCAAATCGAAGAATCATCGGGGAAAAAACGGAAGAACGCCATGACATTCATGTTTGACCATATGCACCTCATTCATAAACAACAGCGGTTCATGAAAATAATTTCTTAAGGTTTCCGAGCTTCATATACAGTATTTTTAATTGACTAATGTTTCTTTTAGAAATCGGCGAAAATAAAAAAAAAATCCTCAAATTCCATAGGATCGCAAGGAAAATTTGCGAAGGATTTTGACAGGACTTTCGAAAAACACCACGTACAGTAATTGCTATAATAATTCAAGATATTGCGAAAAAGAAGCGCTTCCCGATCGATTTAGTCCTCTCATTTCCCGAAAGCAAGAGTTATTCCGCTTTCGTGCCACAATCGGCCTTACGGAAATCCAGATGCGCAATTCGTTTTTAATGACGGAAATTCAATCACCGCGGGATGAAAAACGCAGAGGGAACGCGGCAGGAGAGGGAGAAAATAGCGGATATAACATCAAAACCCGCGAGCAACAAAAGCACAACTTGACCAGCTGCGTCACGATGCGCAGCAAACGCGAGAGAAAAAAAAATATTCAAGAACTCCTTAGTGTCTTAAAAAAAAGTGTCTCGAAAACTCCAGTGCGTCAAAAAAGCGTGAAACTCTTGAATGCGCGATTTCTCGAGAAAAGTTTGTTGGATAGTCGCAACATTCGGAAATACAGTACAATAGCTCATTCACAAAAAAAAAATTTCTCTGACGAGCGAGATAAATCCTTCCCCATATGCTCTCAAGCTTATCAACATTTAAAAAAATCTCTACATCAGAATTCTTTGAACGTCGATATGAAATCGGAACTCCTCGAGAGCAATCGTCTCACAACGAAAAAGGGCTATTCTTCACTTGAAAAATCGGCGCCGGCGAGGCAAATTGGACAGAAAAAGCAAACTGACGAGAGAAAAAAAGCCGTCCGCTTCAATTCAAATTGCTATAACCCCTCAAAAAACGAAGCCGACAGTTCATGTGCAGTATGACTACCTGGCAATGTACTCGTATTCACTAAATTAAGCCACAGTACCTTGTAACTTCGCCTCAAACATCAGTTTCTGAAGAAATACTTTCACGTCATCTAACCAAGTCAACACTTTTCACAATAAAGTTGTAATTATTTTCAATATTTTAGAAAAAACGAGACCATATTGAAGCCAAGAGATAATTCAAACAGAAGACAGACGAGCTTTGGTTATACTTCGAAAGGTCAGAAGTTACAACACGACTTAAAAATGTACATACTGCATACTTTTTCTTATACACCCAAGGAGAAACGAACCCGTGGGTACCAGTAAAAAGTGACTTAATCCCTCTTTGCAGGCGGTTCAGAATCATTCACTTCATTGATTCAAGCATTACAAATCGAAACGAAGAGTACAAAATTCAGAAAGAAAGAAAAAATCTACAATCAGAAAACCCCACAAGGACTGAACTTCTTCCGAAGCGTCAACGCGTTATCGTCGGGAAGTAACGCGGTTATTTTTGTTCGTTTCCGACATGATTCGGTAAACTCCAACTCGCTACAACACGAAAAAAAAAAAAAAAAAACTCGGTCCACAAGTGAGAGTTACAAACACTAAATCCTGATTTCTATCTTCATTTTTCAGACGTGCACATTATTTATTGAAGCAAATCTACAAACAAAAATATGTGAGTCGAACCGCTAAAAATATTTATAATTCGTTGAAAGTGCGAAAAATAAGAAAATAGTGTGAACTGAAAACGGTACAGTATAACATTTCTGGTCGCGATTTTGCATCAACAGGCTACGAGGAAACATTTTGACAGTCGGTGTGGCCGTCCTCGTCACAGTCGTCGGAGGTCAACATGGACACTACGAATACGTGAGTACATAATACAGAGAAAAGCCACGTAAGCAGAAAAAAACTGCACTTACCCTTTTGCATTTCGCAACGCGATTTACGCAACGAACATGTTTTTCTCAACGCCTTTGTTATGGTCACGTTCGAGAGACAATTATGAGAGGAAATCAACAGGTTATTTAAAATTAGAATTTCTAACTATTGTTTGGGAAATAATTAAGAGAGAAAATCGACAACTCATTCAGATTCGAATTTAACTTTCACATGCCGAACTTGACACGTAATTAGGAGATTAAGAGTTTTCGAAGTTTTAACGCCATTCTTTCTTATGAGAAAAATATTTTACAATTTTGCTTCCGACGATGAGACTGATTTTTTTAATTCCGTCTACAGTCAGATTCAATTCTGTAGGTACAAACGTACAAAAAATTAGATCAACTGTCAAACAAACAAGAACATCCCCTAAACGATTCTAACGATGCATAAAAACGCAAATTTGAGCTCATACAATTCTCTTTCACATGACGACCGATTTTACTATGCTGAGCAGATTCTTACGAACCAAACAGTTATTCGGAAAATGAAGAACCCCGTGAACAAGTTGACGCATCAAAATCAGATTTGATTTCATTCTTTGTTCAGTTAGTCCCAGTGGTTCACTTGTATGGATATTCAATTTTCTACAAAATTAATCGCGTACCGATACTAATTAGCACGTGGTAAGTCTTTTCCTGCCTCCAAGGTGATTTAAGAATAATCTCGGAGATGAATGTTCAAAAATCATCAGAAGATTACAGTAATTCAAGACAAGCGAAAAATGGTGTTAAATGGGTGACAACGTTCATTGTAAATTTCCAAATGTAATTACTGTAAAATTTTTCTCTTGATAACATTTTGAACTTGATGTCAACATCAAATTTACGAAATGTGGGACAAAAATATGACCAGCTTCGCCCCAGCAATTAAAAACGAAGTTGCAAACCCTCACGATTACCGCCATAAAATTTTCGACGCCAGCACGGATTGGAAAATCAGCCTTCAGCGTTGAAAGCGTAGCAGTTGAAAATATATTCTTTCAGTGGCGCAAAGAATTAGCGGAAACAGTGGCCATTCCCTCGCGTCTTTAAAAACCAAATCCGTCTCCCTTTTATAACAAAACAAAAAAATCACCCGCCTGAAAATACTCTCGCATCTTAAAGAATCAAAGTTCCAAATAATTCTAAAGAGCTTCACAAATTTGGGGTTGGTGATGGGTTGCGGCAAGAAGCCCTTGAAGGGAAATTCTAACCTTCCCTGTGTTTAAATACAAAGCTTTTGAAACACGATTGCCAAAGAACATCCATCAAACGCTGATGCAACGTGTTGCGTTCAAACTATTAATCTAACGGGCCAAAGATAACTGAAATTCGAACCCATCACACACACAAAAAAGCTAATTAAGAACCCTTGAAATGTACCCGCATGAAATAATAAAAAAAAAACACGCAACAACCCATTGATTCAATACCAAAGAAATACGCAGAAAAAATCGTAACTCTCGACGGAAGTGAAAACAATTTCTCGGTTTGAAAAGCAGAAGACGGAACGGATTTCATAACTTCTTCCGCAGAAGAAGAACTACCGTCAATTTCATCAAGTTAATTTTACAATATAATTTTAGAAAGAATGCATGCGTAAAATTAATTTAAAATTTAGAGTAACATTAATCCGTTCTAAACTATACGCTACTCTTGGGCGCAATTTCTCGGGATTAAGCAGGATAAATTGGGCGACATTCAACTTGAAGAAGAAACGCTTTCGCGAGAATTCATCCCACTTATAGTACAGAATATCGATACGCTCATATATTTTCAAGTACAGCAATACTGTGCAGTACTGCACCAATCAGCAGCACTTCCAATCGTAAATTTCGCAATGATACAAACGAAACTACAGTACAGTACTGTACCTCACAGGCACGAGAGAACTCCACGAACGCCGTTGTCAAGGACATCGAATGAATTATGTAAGAAACGGTTGCCAAAAACGCCGTAAATATACTGGATGAAACAAGCACGCTGATTCGACGGCGAAAATAAGAGAGAGAATGCAATTTTCCCAGCGTATCGGAGACACGCCCATGTCCTCAGGGCAACATTCATTATTCGGTGACCATGAGCTCGTCGACCCAAAATTTTCCAAAACCTCGAAACCAGGCGTAAAAAGCATTAATTTGATTAAAACGTGCGTGAGTTTTACATAAAACCGTCATCAAAGGACATAAAATTGCAGGCTTGACGCGTTCTCGGAATTAACGTCTCAGTAACCTTGATTCTTTCAACTCCCTTTACCAGCCGAAGTTGAATAAACCGATTGATGAGAAAAATCAAAACGTAGTTTCTGTGAGTTGAAAATACAACCTTAGTTCACTTTTGTTAATGACATCCTTTCTAGCAGCAAACAATAAGCTGCAACACCATTGAGAAAAAGCTGGACTTCCCCTCAGTTCGTGAACCATCAATCAAGCAATCTCTAACAATCACTGTCAGAAAATTAAATTTAAAAAATGCAATTCAAGAAAATTGCGCAGATTTTGGAAACAAAACGTAATTAATAAAACTTTGCAAGACCGACTTACAAAAATCGCTCTGTTCAGCTCAACGGGAAATTTTGAAGGAACTACAATTTTGAAGAATTTTCGATCTCTGAAGAACTTTCGAAACTTCTCAGCGTTCGCTGATCTCAACTAAACGAACCGGTGAAAATTAAAAAATATTTATCGATAAATTGGCAGAAATATACTTTTTTTTGCAGAATAATCTATGGCGAGTATTGTAAATCAGAATTCGCCCTACATCAGTGAGTGAGTCACCCAGGCACTATGGCATTCGATTTCTTGGACGAACAGGATTTAAAAATGGCTACCATAAATTATTACTGTATTAAATAAAAGTATAATACTTCCCAATAAGGGACTCGTATTAATTTCTTGAGGATTTCTATAACACGTCCGACACAAAATTGTTCCACTGAGTGTTCACGGGAAAAAATACAGTATATTGGTTTCCCCCTTTCTTACGAAATGCGTAAAAAATAAATTTGAAAATTTGAAAAGAAGAAGATGACTCAAAAACCCATGGGGATTAAATTTAAAAATCGTCAGGAAAAACGCTGCAACATTTCATTACCATTCTCGAAACGATCTTTTCTCCTCACAGGACCAAGGTTACGTTGAGACGCCATATTCGCAACCCAGTGGATATTCGAGGCCGGAGCCGCAGCAATATTACACCAGACCAACGTACACCAGACAGCCCCGACCTCACCATCAAAGCTACGAGTCCTCGTATCCGTCAAGCAGTGGTTCAGCTTATCCACGACCGTAAATATGAAAGTAGAAACTTGACGAGCATTCACAGAAGAAATAACAGAAGCCACGAGACGCATTTCGAAAGGCATGTGCTCATCAGATAGCGTATATCGGGCAAACCGCAGTTTCACCGCGCCTATTGCAGTCATAACCAAGGGGTAATCAACCAAGTTGCCACACAACCGAATACTGTACACGCGAGTACCACGCACACATTTATAGCAAAAAATAAATAACGGGTGCGCTTTATATTCAAGAGAAAATTACTGTACAGTATATCGGGTTTAAGCCATATTTTCCCGCCATTTTCCTCGCAAAAATAACGGTGCCCGTCTAGTCTAGGACACTGGCCAGATACTGAAACTCCAATAAAATACGATACACTTATACAACGCGTGCTTCTGCAATGACGGGAGGCATAGAAACCGTTGCTCAATAATTCATCTTTGCCAATAAATCGAAATCAGTAGAATCGTCCATCGTCGCGGTTCTACCAACAGTGAACTTACAAAATCGTGCCTCAAAAACCGAACACATATTTTCAGCAAGATTGACAAGCTTAAAATGATTTGTCAGTGTTAGTCTTCTGATGCTTCATTAATTGGAAGAAAAATGCAAAATCATGAAGCGTACAGTATTTCTAGATTACTATTCATACTATTCATGTTTTTTTTAGATGCTTTGCTGTTTTAATTTTTTTCATTATCCCGAGTAACTTTCAATCCTTCTAAAAAATATGCTGTAAATGAAAAACCGACGCCCATAGAAATTTCCGGATGTGTGGGAGGATAAAAACTCAATTTCCGAATTGTCCGCATCACGCAAAAAATTTCTGAAAATCGCACGAAAAAAAAAAAGTTGCTCCTTGAGGAACTCGCATCAATCATGAGAATATTTCGACCCATCAACGATGTTCTGGGCATAATTGTCGCTATAGCAGTGCATGTTTCAAGCGATTACTTCAAGACCTCTATCTACTTTCCATCTTTTGGAACAGAAACCTTGGCTCGGATGCTCTTTAAAAGCAATTTGACAATTGATAAATACATGAACTATAAAAAAAACCCCGCAACGACTGCCAAACAAAAATAATAAAATAAGTCATTATTTCCCAAATCAATCAAACATTACACATGCTGTGTCTCGTGACTGGACTCGATCATCAATCTTCTGTGAATACTTTCCGCGGCGGAAATGAGAAGTCCTGCGCACAGATACGCCTCGTTATATCAATATTTAATCTTCCCGGAAATTCTAGTTACCAGCGTCCACGTCCTAGCTACCCTCAGCAGCAGCAGCAACAGTATCCATCATCTCACGGCGAACAGCCGCATTACGCAGCAATGTGCGATTTTGGAACTGGCGCCGGATCCGGCAAAGTTCAGGGTAGACTGACCCTGACGCAGGGGTCTTCCTACGAACCCGTCATCATCTCGGGTTAGTTGACGGAAAAACCAAAAGTAAAGTACTGTACATACTGAAATCATTACAGTAAAATATCGCTATGGTACAACAAACTACTCGGGACTTCAGAAAAAGTTGGTCTTAATGAATACTTTGCAACGATTTATACATAGATTTTCAAAATCAATAACGGGAAAACATGTTCACATCAGACCTACCCAAAATCAATTGGATCTTGCTTTTCCGGCATTCTCCGATTTTTACTATATGTTCGGAAAATAGCATCAATCATGCATTCCATCAGTTTCAACAATCTCTTCAATCTGGGAGGATGTGTGGAACCATTCGGAAATATGTTTTTCATTGATTACTGCTTCCCTCCACGCTGGAAAAACCGGTCAGTCACATTTGAAATCCGAAATTGCAGACTATGCCTGCCTTGTACGGTAAATTTCCACCGGGAGAATCTATTGAACATTCCTCGAAAGTCTGTTATAATGGAATTGAGAAGTTCGATATAACGAGATTGTTTTAGCGAGTGCTCAGTCTATGGGCTTTATTCCGGGACTTGAAAAAGTTAGTTATACTGAAAAAATGTGTCGTAACGGTATTCGTTGTAGTGCAGAGTAGGGGAAAATGGAATACATGTAGTCATATTTACTCGAGTAACACGCGCACATTTTTTCTCCAAATTAAGATGAAAAAAAGAGGGTGCGCGTCATAGGCAGTTACAGTGTTATAACATTAAACATTGACAAGCTTCGGTTCACCACGTACTTAATTTCCACAGGGAATTTTTAACCAATTTCTACAGATAATTTGAAAAACTGAATGATGAAAATTTAAAATTGGACTAAAAATCAATTCAGAATTTGAAGTCGAGTGCCTTTTATTGTCAAAATATTTTAGTTTTCAGTCTCTCAGGCTGGAAAATTTGCGTGTGCACCTTCCTATAGAGGGCGCGCGATACTCGAATAAATAAGGTACGCACTAAACAGGGAAATGGATTTGTTCTGGTGGCGAAACGAATTTCTTATCGAACCCTTCGATTGATTCCGCAGGAACGATTTCCCCTTTGAAGCCTGGCCAACACGGGTTCCACATCCACATGTACGGAGACTTTTCGGATGGTTGCACAAGCGCTGGTGGACATTACAACCCACTGAAGGTTCGTATTCTACGCATTTGTATCTTAGTTCTCATGCTTGAAATACACCGATCGGAGAAAAATTACGAGTACGGGTTGAAGCAACAGTTTCCATTCCTAATTCGTTACGACGAACTCGTGACAACGCTCCAACAAAATTCTTTAAAAATAAAATAAGTCCGTTTCATTAGCTTCGAGTGAAGATACCAAGATTCGAAAAAAATGGGATCTCAGTGTCAAACGGTTTGAGATGGAACCCGAACAAATACAAATGAACACTCTCAACAATGTACTTTTTTCCTAAAAAAAAATTATTGCTGATTCAGGCAAACCTGCCTGAATCGCTGGTTCACTCTGCACCAGCACTCAGCCAAATATAAAAACCCCGACTTGGAGCAGCGGTTTGATGGTAAAAAAAAAAGTGCGATAGCTGAAAAATAGACTTTTTTTTTCGGAAAAGTGTGGCCCATGATCGCATAAAAACGATAGGATTGCAGAAAGAGTCCACCTGCATTCTCATATCTGCGACATTGTGTAACCGATGATCACATTTTTTCTCATCAAACTGGAAAGCAGATGAGTGAAAGCCATCGATTTCAAAAAGCTCCACAGAAAACGCGATATTGTACCTTGATTCCCGCAACATTCCTTTCTCGTATTGATGAAACCTAGAACCTAGTGACCTTCTTAAGCTGAATTTATTGAAAAACTCACGTTCATTTCTTCCTTTTCTTCCGTAAAAACGTCCCCGTTTCGACCGGAGCGCAGGCTGATCACGGATCCCCAGACAACAACAAGAAGGACCGTCACATCGGCGACTTGGGCAACATTGAAGCCGGCTACGACAGCACTGCCAACATCCACGTCGTTGACAAGTTGGTTTCACTCGCCGACGGCGGCAAGTATCCCATCGGCGGCAGAGCCATCGTCGTTCACGAAAAACCCGACGATCTGGGACGAGGTGGCGACGCGGAGAGCAAAAAGACGGGCAACGCCGGAGCTCGACTCGGTTGCTGCATCATCACTTACATCGATCCGAAAAAACTTCACTGAAATCTCGTGCCTTCATTTAACGATCCCTAAAAACGATGGAGTTGAGGGACGAATAATGCATGACTAATTTATGAAAATTAAAATGATTCCTTCAAAAAATGAAATAAACGCCAGATAATTTGCCGGAGCAAGTTCCTCGCCGGAAGTCGTCAGAATGGCTCCATCTGACTGTGCGATTAAAATCTGATTAAGAGAAGTTTCATCACGATGAATGAATTACGTATAACATCACCATAGATGTCATTCGTGCGACGAAATATAAGGGATGGTTCAAAAGTTTTGTAAGTGACGTACTGGGAATGAAATTCTTCGGGTATCAGAGTTTCTGAATAAAAATTCTTCAAATCGCTTCGGGGCCAAACGGGACGCAGACCATTATTTATTTCTTGAGAATTCTTCGTCATGCAACTCTTGACTTCAAAAAACCTTTTGTTAATCATCGAGATTTCATTAAACTTACATTAGCTTCGGTGACACAAATTGCCGCGATCAAAGCAATTTTGCCATAGATTAGAACAGGTTTGTCATGTTAGACTGTTGTGGGAAGCTTGGGATGATGACCCTATTTCCGGGTTGCACATACATTTCTCTGCAGTTTTCATTTTTACGTGGGTGAGCAAAATTCGGAATCTGTCATAAATTTAACGCATTTTTCCTTGAAGAATATGTGCAGTGCCAAATAAAGTTTAAAAAGCAAAGCACAATCATGACATAACTCATGAACCAACCCTTACATGAACTCAACTTTCATCGCATTAGGATTGGTAATCAACGGAAATGAGATAAATCTGACCTCGACATAATTCGCCAATTCTCTAATAGCGAATAAAAATTAAGGAAAAAGCTTGAGCTTGCCACGGTATACAACATGAGAGGCAAAAGAATGAACATTCAAGGAACGAAGAAAAAGCGTGTTTTACATCACAGTTTAAAATACGTCGGAAGATCGAGGCATAAACATCGTCAAACACGGAATCTTTCGAATATTCAAAGCTGATGCTCGAAAAGCTGAACCTGATAAATTTTGTATCACAAACACAAATCGCATCAATTTGTTCCTGTGCCGATCCGGTTATCAGACAACTCTTTTACTGAAGTCTGTTTCTTAGAAATGGTGTCGAAATCGTCGGTGTCGTTGTATTTGTTTCCGATCAAGCCATTCAAAGCCAGAACTGCTCGGATGAGAGATGCGACATAAATGGCGAGCATCTCATCGTTCGTCTTCACCATCATCGCTTCGACGAATCGAGTTTCCGAAATGTTGGGAAGTAAGTTTAGAATGTCTTGCATATGATAGACCACTTGATGGTTCACTGGTAGACGTCCTTTCACAACCTACAGAGAACAACGCACGGGATTCAACAGAAGACCTCGATTAAATTCGAGAGTTTGTATTTTCAAGCCATGTTTATTTGGACGACAAACCGGAAATTCCTGGAACACGAATAACTTTCATTACCTGTCATGTCAAGCAATACTCTACCCTTTATATCATCCAAAATTTCGCGACGTTATGCGCTCAATGAGGACGTTTTCAGAATAATTTCTGAGACTCGCAGCGGATAACGAAAAAAGGACTTTCACTCTCAATCGCTTGACATGTACTCTTTAATTTGTCACACGTCATGTGACTTGAAAAGGCACTAAAATATAGAAAGAATACTATTATATATATTAACGTGTCATGCCCTGCAGCGTGTCTTCTGAAAATGAAAAATCTCCAAAATTGGCAAGCCACTGAGTATGGTAAGTGGATAGTCAAGTCTGATTATACCAGAACTAAACTATTTATTTATTCCATGAAGTCTTCCTAATTCTCGAGGTATGAGGAACATCCAAGATTAATAATTGCAATAGATAGAAGCATTCGTCCATTTCCCCTTACGAACAAGGCTTTTGAAAAACTCGACTGATGCCCATAAATTTGTTTTTCACTATCATTGAGACTTCGACAAAGATTAAATCATTATCTTGAGTCAAATGACGAGTCAAAAAATAAAAATGGAGATGATGCTCAACTTCATCATATTGTTAGAAAAAATGCGACCAGAAACGTCCTTCTTACCTGTAGTATAATAATTTCAACAAAAACGAAAACTGTCTCGACAAACCTGATCGAAATATTCATGAAGACCCCTCAGCTGTGCATTGAGTCCTTTCAAGCCATGAAGGTGATCAGTGACCTTCTGACTCAAAGAACCCCCACCGCCATCTTTCACGTCACGAAGCAAGTGTTCGACCCCGACTTCTTCGGACTCTTCAGCCCCGATTTCACTCGGAACATGTTCGAACGTTTTCGTAGCTGGCGTCCCATTGTCGTGAAGCTCTTCCACTGCCACGTACGCATTCGTCGGTGGACCGATTTCGTTCTCGTTCGTACTTACGATCACCAGAACGGCGTCGGGGCAATATTTACGCACGAGCTCGTTGATATCCACGTCGTTCTGGTGAAGCTTTGGTCCTGTATGATACCAACCGACGATCTTCTCGCGCATGTTCACCTATGGAAAATCAATCCTTCGTAATCCGATTTCCGTAAGACGTTCCACACTAGACAATTTTTTTTCCAACAATACTCAACCTTCCGATGAGCAAGACACAATTTTTCTCGTTGAATGCAGACCAAGTTCAATCTCAAATTCATTTCTCCTGGGATGCCAAATTAAAGGCTGGATTTTCAATCCAATTAGATACAGTACTGTATTTATATCCAGTTAATTTCGCACAATTTCCGATTTTCTGACTACAGTAGTAGCAACCTAGCAAAAAATGAAAATTCGCTCCCGCATGCGCTGCAGAAACTTGCTTAGTACCAGGGACAAGCTTCCAGACAGCCATCTTTCATATGCAATATACATGTTAAGTTAACCGCAAGAACGGCGTCGCATCAAAGGGTATTCGTTCTAGCGATCTCTCAATCAAGTTCTTGAAAATGGAAGTACACTGCATAATGGCGGGCCTATTTCACCAAGAAACATAAATACGTCTGAAAACACACTACAGAAGTTTTTCTTCCACAACTCTGTGTCCCGGAAAATTCGTTACAGGGATTACGAGTATATTTCTTTCAATTTCCTTCACATGCTAACAATGAAGGCCTTAATTCTCTGGGTCAAGAAATTAGCTCTTCTCAACACAAGCTCACACCCTAGAAAAGCCGGTTGGGGTATTAAGCATGGAAAAAAATATCCAAAAAGGTATACCTTCTTACACATGTTGTACATATTGTTCAAATAATCGTGATCCAGGAACCAAACGTTCGGGTCCTTCTCATCTTCCTCAAATGGGACAGCAAAACAGCTCGACACGTCAAGAACACCTTTCGTACGCCAAGTGCCCAAAAGCGCTCCAACTACTCGGGTTTTCTTCGTTCCAGTCTTCTCGATTCGGTTGAAATGATCGACAATGCTTAGCAAGACAAGAGGATGAACGACGACAGTTTCTGTTGAAACGTTCGTCGCAATGCTTGACATTTTCGAAATAACTGCAATTTGAATGCCGATTAAAAAACGAGACGTAACACCTGACCTGCAATCGTTCAAAGCTTGGATTTTATCAATACATTCGTTCTAAGTTATCAAAACGCGATGATTATATTCGAAACGAAACAAAAAACCATGTCTCCTTGGGAAGATCACTCAGAGAAGCGGATTATCCTTAGAAGGTTACACTCTCGGTCCTGCAAAAAATAATCGACGATCAATATTAGAATACTGCTCCGACACGAACAATGAAATTTTGAATAAAGCAAAAACAAGCGAGTCACATTCATAAAAATTGTCCTTTCTTTTCTCCATTATATCATCGCGCGCGGCATCCACAGTTTGCTTTATTTCATCTATCTGCTTCCCCGAGAATTCTCCTCGCGTTTACAGATATGCACAAGACGGCAAGTTAAAGCATCATCTCGTTCTTTCAAAGGACTTCCGATCTCGCACAAATGAGTCAATTGCTTTTCAGATTGCGCAGTACATCGATGGACAAAAATTATTCACGCGAAGAAGATTCATTTCCTAAATGCTTTTCTAAAATTGCTCGCTACGTCGGGCTTTTAAAGAACACTGACTATAATTCTGAAGATGTCGTAATAAAAAGGAATAGATTTTATGACTTTAAAAAGAATATGACTGGCAAAATAGGAAATCCTTTGTAAGAGAACGAGAACCCCAAGTTAACAAAGCAGAAAACCGCTTCAAGTCCGCGACAATCCCACAGTTGAAGGACCAGATTACATACTAAAAACCCAAAAATCCCGTCGAGCTTCTCGGAAAAAATCACCGCAGGACACGACGGCGGAAAATCACATGTCACATTTCCGTCGCTTTCAGTATCGTCACAGGAATTCAAAAAAAAGAGTAATAAAAACATAAGGTCCACGAAAGGGTGCGGCAAGTTTCAGCGAAAAAGAAAGCGAAGATTCACGATGGAAACACCGAGGCATGCTCAGTAGAAGCATCCTCAGAAATTCATAGGAGATTCTATCACTGGCTCGCGTCATTACAATGAACTCCTAACGCACAATACCAACTCTTTCACGCCCAAGAAGGGGGAACAAGGAGAACTGAATTAAAATACTTCGCATCAACTTCAACTTGCTCGGCGCACAAATTCCACACAACACGCCCTTGGGTCTTCTTTGGGAGTTTCGAATTTTTCCCTCGGAAGCCCACTCGCATAACGAAGGTGTTCATTGAGGAAAAAAGATCTGATTGCACATAATGCTTTGTGTTGTCCATTCCAGAATTAAAAACCTTGATTCTTCATAGCAATTCGGGAACGTAGCTTGATTGTACGCGGGAGATTCCAGTCATTTCCAAAGCCGATGGCAAGGTCAAAGCTATCGTCACGTCTGCTTTCTCGGTGTCAGAAAATGTTCGTTGTTGGGGCTGTAAAATTAAAACTTCATGCGAGTGGCACGCTGTCACAGATACTTATTGTAACCTGAATCTTTCAAAAGCTGGTGGGCGGCCTAATCACCTATCCAATTCAATTCAAAAGTTCAGACGGAGAACAGTATCCATCGTCTTTCAGATAAATAAAGAGGTATCTGGCAGTTTCCTTCCATGAACAGAGAAACGCAACGGATTTTAAATCAATATTTTCTGCAACAACAGCATCCTCAACGATTTCGCTGCGCAAAAAAAAAAAAAAAAGGCAGTTGAAATTTCAGCATCTTATGAAACAAGGCGGATTCTGAAGACTTCAAGTTTGTTCGAAAACATACAAAAAATACGGTAATATCTAATGCTTCAATTCAAACGTTCCACAAATAATACATCAGAGCATAACAAAGGAAAGAACATTTTCTACTATAACACTGCAAAAATTCATTCCGCACATAAAAGGAAAGCGAACGATGTATTTTGGGGTTCGAATCACACGAGTTTTAAATTTTGGATCATCAATTGAGGCATTGTCGATATAAAGCAACTTTTAAGCGATTCCACCAGTAGCACAGATCAAATGAGGTTTGCACAGCGAAACGGCTGGTGAAGATAAGCAAACATTACGCTGGCAACCCGTCAAATTCTTCTGCTTTCAAAGGAGACATCAGACCCTCGCCTAAGCCTTCGGGCAATTCTTAACTTCACATCGCCTGGTTATAAATCCACATCTCAAAAAAAGGAAAAAGTCGCAACTAAGCAGAAAAAAAAACGTCGCCCTTACACGGGGTCAAAATTAGCCCTTGCTCGCCTGCGTCTTGACGCTCGCATAGCCGGAACTCGAGCTCGGGCTCGTTTCCACTGACACGTCACCGCCTGGACCCGAAGAGGCGCCGTCGACGCGGAGCCAAGGTTGTCGGAGGCACTGCTCAGCAGTGGCACGTTCTTTCGGGTCAAAAGCCAGCATCGGCAGCAAAAAGTCGGCGAAGTCCTGGGCCTCCTTCGTCGGCCACTCGTACTTCTCCGTCAACACTTCAACCAATCCCCACGGCTTCAGCCTAGAGATCCTTTTCAACGTTCCTAATTCGAAACGGACTTAATTAAGGACAGATTCTGAAAAAGTTCTTGGGAATGTCTGATATCTGCTCTGAATCGTAACTTTGAACAAAAACTTTCAAATATAATCAATTCATTCCAGAAGAAATGTCTAGGTTCTTTCTTATCTTCGGTGTTCCGCATAACTAAGAATCAGCATCACCAAGATCAAATGGTCTCACTTGAATAATGCCCTAAAAACCCATCCAGGCTACCTGGTAAACCTGAATGGGACCAGATTGTCGCGTTTTCAGAATCTTACCCTTTCTAGTGAAAAATACGTCGGAATATTTTCCACTGAAGGCAATGTGCATAGGGATGTTGCCAAGTAACTCAATTATGTGACCCAGATGATCATCGTCTCTGGTGTAGTACTCGCCGGAGTGCGGCTCGAACAAATAGTCTCCTGTTGCCAATTCGAAAGCCTAGAAGAAAGCGATTCAGCGCTCGTGAAAAACATTCTCACAAAGAAAATCTCGGCAATGTAACTGAAAATCAAATAAATCCTAAAAAAAAATTTTTTTACTTTCTGAAAAACATAAAAAAAAAGTCGCACCACGCAAGCCGTGCTCCAGATATCGGCAGGAGTACCGTATCCGGCACCAAGCAACACTTCCAAACACCGATATTGACGGGTCTGTATGTCCTCCGTGAATTGAAAAAAGGTCCAGCACGCATTACCCAGATCAGCAATTTTAACCTAAGAAACGAATCAGTCCATACAAGCATGTCACTTCATCCATGACATTGAAAAGATCAAGAAATAGAAATAATTTTAAAACCTCCGTGAATAAGAAAAAAAAAGACTACTCAAGAACAATGATATTGAATATACATCTGAACTCGAAAACGAAGATTAAGCTATAATGAAACTCGGCTACGCGTACTTTCATGTTATAAAATCTACCATTGTACAACGCACAAAATTATTTTTAAAACGCAAGCTATTCATTTAATATTGAAAGAAAAGCTTTGCTTCGAAATATGGTTGCTAACTGAGGAACCCTACTCTCACCAAGATTTGCACTTGAACATCTTGCCAGGTGCAAGACGTACTTCATGAAACTCTCAACACATTCTCAACAGATAGAAAATAACGCAGAAATTCTTCATCGATAAAAATAAAACTCACCAAAAGAGGCGTATTATTATTTGAACTACAGTACAGTGCACTGCACTGAGTGAATAATTATACTTCTCGAGAAAAATATTTTTCCTGGTTTAGGAAGACAACTTCATTTAAAAAGCAGCTTTTTCAAAAAGGAATTCTTCAACTGTATTACTGTACAACGGCTTGTTGGTCTCTCAAGCATCGTTAACGAGAGTCCACAAGGATAAAACCCGTGTCTATCATGTTAAATCGCATTCGTATCACTTGAAACAAAAATTGGAATCCTTTCCAGACAGCAAAGAGCCGAATTCAACGCAAGGTTAAAACAAAATTGATTCGTATGTGAATTAATGTTTACCTGTAGGTCCTTCTCAGTCATGGGGTCGAAGGCGGGATTGGGTTCATTTTTCGGCTTGAGTCTAACTCGACCTCGTCCATGCTTAGCAATGCCTTCCGTCGAAGCTCCTGCGCCTGAAGCATGTGGTTCAGTACATGATCTGGTGATCTCCGATTGCTGATGCGTGACGACCTTCCTAGGGATCTTGGACGCCTGAGGCGGAGGTGGCGGAGGCAGTGGCACCTCTGGGTAGGACTCATTCGAACACATCGCGTCACTGCCCGGGTACGACGCAGCACGGCGACGATATATCACTATGTCATCCTCGGTATCTGAGAGGGAACAGATGATACAGAATTAAATTTTAGTTCTGTGATTGATAATTCCTCGGCGTCCGCTTCATATTTTGAAATCCGATTTCCCTATCACGGAGGAAATTGAAGTTGTTGGGGGTTTAGTTCACGCCCGCTGAAGCGCGGGGAAGTTAGATCTACAATCGTGATTACGTCATTCATAAGCATCGGAACTTGCTTCTAATCCACTAACTATTCATGACCAAGGAGAAATCTGACAGAACAGGAGACAAATCGAAGACCTTAGATTCTCCCTTTCAGAAACCAGTGACTGCACTAAGTCGACCCGAGACAACCAAAAACTGAACTCAATTTAACACACATAACATGGAAGCAAAAGCCTACTCATGATCAGATCAGTGGCAAAATCCAACAGGCGAGAAAGCAAGTGACAACTTTTTTCAGATCCTTCCTTTCGATCGCTACGGTAAGTCATCCACATGGAAGCTAGAGCCATATTTAAAAAGTTTATTGAAAATGAACTTGAAAAAAAAAACCTCTTTTCTGCTCGGCAAGATAATACTGTAGCTCCAATCTTCTGATTTACTGTATATGCAGTAAGCATCACTTTTAGGAAAAAGTCAACTTTTTTCGGTTGACTATGTATAAAGCTCTGATAAACTTCAGGGATCCTATAAAAAAATACGGCCGATGAAAAGGAGCCTCACTACGTAATAGACTGACAATTTGGCCCCTCCTCATAAGGTCAGCACTGCAGCGAAGCGTAAGGTACTCCAGACATACAACCAAAAGAAGCAACCGGCCTTCAACGCACCTCCCACGCAGAAGTCCGCGTGACGAACCCCGGTTCCGTCGGTGATCATGTCGCATCCATTGTTCCACCCTTCTTTGCCATTCGCCAACGTCTTCGCAAGGGCTTCGGGTTCCAGCGACACGCAATTACGGTTCGCGTCGTCCAAGTCCATCAGACTCAAGCCGTTCGTGATCCCCGAGGGACTGTCAATCGCGGATCTCCACTCGCTGTCGGTGCGCGACAAGATGGATTCCACCTGTGCGTGTTCCATTTCGGCAAAGCTTTTCCTCTGCTCGATCCCTACATGAGTTTTGAAAACGAGAATATGTCATGGGAAGTTCACATCTTGCATACAGAGATGAGTTCAACGAAGTTATATCAAACGGGTGTTCTCGAAACCTGCGATAACCCATTACACCATGTGTTTTTCCAAGAACTAGTCCTTGATGAAGCCTTAACTCTTTCCGTTAATCAGATCTGAATGTGATCCCTTTTCAGAGCGTAAGCCTTTCCTCAGAGCCCATCACTGACGAACTTCACTTGATTTTAAATATTTGCATTTTTTGAACCAACACACGTAAATTTATTCGCATTCAATCTGCATTTTACCCAGTCTTCGCAAAACGATTCTTCCAACAATTAAAACCTTCAACAAGAAATTTTTAAAATGTTGAATTTTACTTCTTTAACCAGATGAATAAGATCAGAAGTCATACTCCAATTTGAATAAAAATATACACTGACGAGCATTCCTAAAGAATAAAAATAAAATGAAAACTCACGTTTCTGAAAATCATCATCGGCAAGTCGAGCGTCCTTTGAAATCGGTTTCTTGACGCCGAGTTTTTTACCCATGGCTTCTCGAACAGCTGAACGTGATTCACTTCCGTTAAACGAGGGCATCGGAGGTTCGTGGGATGTATTCAAACTGCTACTCTCCTCGTCGGGCTCTTCCACCAGTTCCAGGTGCATTTGCGACTCCAAATGCCTCATGCGATCCTCCAAGATTTCTTGGTCTTTCTGAGCCTTCTTCCGAAGTTGCCTGCGCTTCTTTCTGGTCATGTTCTCTGGTCGGGGAGTCGTCAATTCCTTTGGAGCCGTGCTGACTACAAATTGCAAGAAGAAAATCGTTGAATAAAATTATGAACACAATTTTTAACTGGTATTTTTACAGACATAACGAAAAAAAGCATGAATGAGTATTAAAACCTGCACCGATAAGCTGGAAAATGCATAAACTGAAGAAATAACAATAGAATGCACAGACCAACTATTTCCATCAACATAACCACCGATCATTTCGGTCGATAAATATTCAACTTCAGTGCATATCTCAGACCGAATCTGACGCATTGAAATTATTCACGAATTAAAAAACTCGACACGGCATCGTATCGCTAAAAAGGAACACTTCGAAAGTTTTCGCTCCAACTCGAAAAACAAATACAGTATCACGAAAAAAAATCTCATAAAAAGCTTGGAAATCCGATGTCACACGGAATATTGAATAACAACAATTGCCAGACAACATTTAGAATTCAGGAGAACTACAAACAGAGCCCAGAGCTTTCCGACGTTCCAACTTCTTCGAGAACAGTCGGTGGCTTAAAATAACATAAACATAGTACCCAAGGATCAATAGACGCAGCAAATAAACCAAAAATCATACCCAGAGAACTGGGAAGCTTAAGTCCCAAGCGTCTGTACTGAGTGGCCTCAAAAGCTAGCCGTCGAACGTAATTCTCAGAAACTGCAAGTAGCACGTTTTCTGGTTTGATGTCGGTGTGGATGATCTTGCATTTGGTGTGCAAATAGTGCAAGCCCTCGAGGACTTCCCGGATGATGATCTTGACGTTCTGAATCGGGATGCCGCAGTAACGCGACCGGATGATCAGCTTTAGCAAGTGGCATCCGAGCACCTCAAACACCATGCAAACGTGCGTCCCGTGGATCCCGTTGATCTTGAAATCGTCCAGCAACATGACTGTCCGCTCTCTGAACTTATCCTCCGGGTCGCTATCACGAACCTGATCAACAAAATTGCAAGGCTTCATCAATAAGAATCAAAATTCTAGTTTAAAGAAGTCCAAAAATAAAATCCAGAACTCAAATACGATGGTTTTTTTCACATTTTTCACCAGCGTTGAGATGGACGGCTATGTTCGCAATTTCCACGATGCAACATTTCTGACCATTCTCCGTATTTTAGCACTTACAGGTTAAAAATGACGAAAAGATGAATAGTTCAAAGGAAACATATCACTGAGAAGGATTACAACACCATCTACCACATTTGCGTGTTTCGTGATTTTGCCGGTGGTTCGAGTACTTCAAATAATTGCAAAATAAACTTTGTGACCATGTTGGAGATCTAAAAACCGTGTTCCAATAAGCAATCGTATCTTGGGTAACCCTTGTGTTCGTATTGTTGAATGTCTTTAATACCCCAAACTGTCATCAAATGCCGGGTCCTAGCAAACCTGTAACAAACGATCAAAAAATTGCTTCACGCCCAGATAAATTTCACACCTTTTTGGACTTCGATACTTTTCTATCACTTCTCAAAAATGAGTACCTAAAGAACTTCCGTTTCAAAATGCTCAGGAACACTTGAAGCACCCCTCGCCTCGCATTTGACCAAATCAAATCGAATGAAGAATTGAAATTCAAGTAGGCTCGATCACATAGAGCATACTATTATACAATAGATGAAATACCATCAGAAGATATTGAGTACGGTATTTTAAATCCTAAAACCCTCCAGGGGAATACAAAAAAATGTCGTGCATCAGTCAACCGAGCCTTTACTGCTCTAAACTTTGCTAGACTGCACTCAGTACTCACACATTTGAGCAGTTTTATCTCGTCCAACGCAGTTTCGGTATAATGCGGCGCACTCTTGACCACCTTCATAGCCACAAACCTCTTGGTTCTGAAAAACGACAGGACGAAAAATCAGTGAATATGAATGAAAAAAAAAAATTTGCAGATCAAAAGCTTTCCTCGCGCATCACTGAAAGCAGCTCAGGATTATCTCCGCAGCGTACAAGTTCAAAAGCCCGTCATCCTAAAATACACAGCGTCTTCTAAGCGAAATAAATTCTCTTCCAGAGAACCGAACATTAATCACGTTCGCCATAGAATCGCTAAGAAGGGACGGACGCAAAGGAAGCGATCGGGGGAAAATATATTAAAATAAACCCCAGGCACTCTTCGCATACATTTTGTCATGTGCATGTATGAAAAATCAGTACCGGATGGTGCGGTGAATGATCAACTTGCCGAGGCAAAACAAACATTTTTCACTGGAATTGTCTTTCAACGAAGGAACTAGCATGCTCATCAATCCTGACGTCAACGACCTTTCAACTCAAATCATGCTCAACAAATTGATTCAGGACGCGAACTCAGAACATAACTGTGCCGGCAAACTACATCGGGTAGAATCTCCATTATCCGAGACTCGTTTCACTAGATACATCAAATTCAGAGAAAACAAAAAAAATTTCCAAGCGGTACTTTTCTCAGATTGACTCGAATCGCAAATTGAGATTCCCGTAAAGTAAACAAAAAAAATCAAGCATAAAAAATTAATTCAAGCAACGACAAAAACTCACAAGAAAAAATTAAGATTAAAAGTGTTGCCCTATAAGATAAAAAAAAGCCTAATATCGTCAGGTGATCGCTAAATATATGCAATTGATCATGTTGCTGTTTATGTGTAATACTCCAATGTCTGGGATTAGACACTGAATAATTTGCACCAGTAATCGAAGTTCAACTTCACGCATTTGATGGGATTAGAAAACCAATAAAATGTTCAGTCGTCACTCACTCGACATCCCAGCACAGCCAAACGGTAGAAAAGTGGCCCCAGCCGAGTTTTCGCACAACATGATACCGGCGATGGAACAGATCCCCAATCTTCACCGGATGGTACCCACCTATTGACGAAAAAGAAAAACACGATCACTTCCTTCTCCGTAATTCACAGACAGAATAATGAGAAGAAATGCAACACAGAACCAAGTGTTGAATGACAGCTGAATTTACAAGAGTTGATCAAAACGCCATCGAGAGAACAAACCTTTGTCGTAATCTTTCGGATCTTCTTGTTCGTCTTCATCTGACCCAAGAACACGCTCTTCGGATTCATCGTCGCCAGAATCTTCCGATTCGGCCGAGGAGCTTCGAAGTCGCTCGTGTTGTTGCGGTCTTGCCTCAGCTCCAATACTGCAAGAGACAAGGAAAAAGCTGGTCAACAACAAATAGAAGGAAAATTATACTTTATGACTGTACACTTTTTTCTCATCACAGAAAAGAACATCGATGAATAAAATAAAATTTGAAAACGTACGTGACGCAAGTTCAGAACGATCCTTTTCAAAAACCCTCAAGATCTCCGAATAAATTCAAGTTTACCGATGCATCAAACTCAAGTTCCAAACAGAAGGGCAATCCAGTAAATTGTCATGATCTTCAAAAAATCATGAATTGTTTGATTAAACCTCGTCCAAAGTTGAACATCATAAAATTCCCCAAGGAGCTCCACCATCATAATTAAGCTATTCAATTGTTTAGTTCAGTCCTTCGTATACTAGGTAGAAAGCTGCGAACTTCAGGACTTTAAAGTCTTCGCTTTTGATCGTAGAATGCAATTTAACTTCTTTCATACATTGTACTCAAGTCGGGATGAGCTGTTCGAACACATCCGCCCACGTAGCCCATCCAGCAAGAATTTCTTCAGCAACATTAATATTGGGAGAGTCTCGGCCCCCGAGTCAGAATTCAAGTTCATTCTATCTCGAATCCCTCAATCTCGATGCAAGTTTTTAGTAGAAAAATTGCGGTTAGTAGAAGACCTTTGACATTACATTAATTTCCTTCACCTGTACTCACACAAAACTAATTCTGTGTACGGTAACCTTTGCACCGTTTATTGGCGTGAATATGAAAAAAAAAAAACTAGCCTGAAACCCGGCTAATCTAATCTAATACCTGATCTAGCCAAACATTCGACTCAGCCCACGTTGATCAGCAATTAAAATCTAACCTGACTGAACCTTTTACGATGGAGATACTGTACAATTTTCGATCGCTTTCCATCATGTGAACGCCACAAAGAAAATGTCTCCCCTGACAGCGATTTTCATCAACAAACTTTTCATGCTCGAGTTCGGATCCCTCAAATATTTCGGTAAATAAAAGAAATTGAAGCGTGGCAAAAACCAGGCAAGATGAAAAATAAAAATTCTCGCAATTTGGTTCACCCACCCGAAAAAGTCCCCGTCAAACCTCGACGGCGCGGAACCACACAGCCCGCTGCCGACACCAGCGGCGGCACACGACGGCGGCGCCACAAACGGCGAATACCGCACCGGCGCCTCGTCACAAACCCCCGGTGGCGGCCAAAACTTGCCCATCCCTTCGTCCACCAGCTCCTCAGACGCGCGTCGGTCCTTGGCCCTCGCCACCCTCATCTCCTTCCCTTCACAACCATAGCCCCATTCGAACCGCGGCGATAAGTACGGCTCCGACTCCCCATCGTCCGTCAACGGCGACCCGACCACGTCATCATCATCGTCCAAAACAGACGTCGGGAACAAAACGTCGCCGAAACTCGATTCGTTCTCATGACCCGACAAGGACAGCGACAAAGAACTCTTGTCACTCGCCGCCGGGGACGAGAGGTCAAAGACAACACCACGTTTGTTGTTCACGTCCACGTCGTCTTCTTCCTCTTCCTCCTCCTCGTCGTCATCTGCACTTGCCAGCAATCGTCGGCTCAGTTCGTCGAGACCGACAATGTGCGGTAAGTCGGGCAAGGAATCGTTCAGGTGCCCGGATGAAGAAGACGGGTAGGCGGTCGAATCAAAGCACACGTTCATCTCGTAGCGGCGGCGGTCATGGTCCGCCGACCGCCAGAACCGATTTTTCCAGTCCATTCCGGACAATTGCACTTCAGCAACACTTTCCGCGTTTCTTCCTCGCGAGCATTTCAAGCCTCGTAGGCTTTCAACTTTAAAATCACCTTCACAACGCCGAACATGAAGTCTTGAACGAGTCGATTAAAAAAAATAAGGAGAGACGGATTTTCGACAAACGTTGAAAGAATACTCAAAATTTTGAATCTCACCGCAACAGACCGACACTTTCAACTCAGTACTGCGAAAACGTTCCACTTCTGCAAAATCTTGACGTGGAAAATTTCACGCAACTTCGAAAATATTACGCGAAAATAGATCGTAATGATATATAGATATATGTATCGGCTCTTTTGGACGGGAGTCACTTTCGTAGGTGAGATAAAAATCTCGTGATCAATCGAGAAACTGCTGAAAGTTGCGATTGATTGATTTTTGGTAATTCGCCATATTCATGCTTAAAAAATACCAGCAGGTAGAACGTCAGAAATACTGTCACTTAATTTTTCGGTTTCCTGCAATTTTGTTTCCGAACGTTCAGAACAATTACATTATTAGATGCATTTACACTTCATTCAACAGTTTCAACATCAACACACAAGTAACCATAATCGTGATGCGAATATTTGACCAAAAACAAAAGAAAATAGACATATTCCAAAATACAATTTTGCCCGGACTGCAGACTATATGTAAAGGGTTTCAACAAGTTTCTTTCCGCGCAAAAACAATAGTAAGAACCAATCCAACATGTTATATACGGGATATTTCCACCAAGATTCGACAGAGATCCATTTTCCCAACCTTTCCAACGACGGACATTTTCTTTTCCAGGAAATGTCTTATGTAGCGTTTTCAATCTTCGCGAGGCAGTTGAAAGGAACGCGAGCGCAGAAGGGGAATTGATTGCCTGATTGATCCAAGAATTGATCCGATTGAATTGCTTGCTTGCAACCGAAATTATATAGTACTGTGCCACGAACCTCAATAATAACGGTACAGTACGCAAAACCACAAACCACCGCCCGCTACTTTCGATTTCGATGCATACAAAATAATTTTCAACGGAAGTTGGCCGAAGGTTCAGTTCATCTCCATCCTCCAAAATTCAAGATACGTCGAATGAGCAATTATTGAACCTCACTGCTACAAAATCTTCCTGGAAGAGTGAATTTTTTTTAATATCGAAAATAATTCCTTAAAATGTCAGTCGGGGTTCCCGGTAGGGAAGGGGCGTAGAGAAAAAAAAGGCTTTCAATTGAAAAATGACGCCCTTTCCTCCTCCAATGCCATCCTGATTTAGATGAGCACATTATCGTAAAGGGAGATATCCGCCTTTCATCGCGGACAGAAAGCCGAAATGATCCCAGAGATTCCCATCATCAACCTTCAGCTTGAAGGCTGGTCTCGTGCGAGAAACCATGGAAACCGAAGGCTTTCGGTATTGGGTCATGCCCCGGACGCAAATTCCACGAGGAACCTCACCAAGCATTCACTCATCAAATATTCTCCCTGCGCACGCAACGAATTCGTCTCAAAGTTGGATCAATTTTACCAACTACCTGAACAGTACCGCACAAAGGTGCATTAAAACCTTTTTTTTCGAAACTTCATAAAATTTCCCATTAAGCTTCCAGCGTGAATTCTCAAGAACCGAGAAAACGGGATTTATTTTTGAAATCGAGAATTTAACTGCATGTCGAATAAAACTCTTACAATAATGGATTACGTCAACGATGAACAATTCGGCGTGCTTTTACCTTCAAAAAATGTGGCACTTGTAAAACAATAAAATAAAAGGGATTCGACAAATCATTCTTGGATCGAATTTGAGCATAAGTCCAGGTAATCAAGAATCTCACGATTCAATTGCCCAATTAGTCTGGCAATTCCTTTCCAAAAAACATCAATTTTTTCATGGCTTTTCTCTTTTCTGTGTCAAGCAAATAATAGCCAAAATACCTCGGAAAATTCGAGTTACGGAGGTTTGACAAGAAACGCCTTCGAGTTAGAGAGATTTTCAATGTATTGTCTCTAAGAGAATTCAGACGGGGATCTTTAGAAAAAATTTGACTCAGGGAGAGGTATTCGAGTTTATCAAGGTTCAACTGTATTTCTAAAAGTCACCCAATGGTCTTCAACATTTAAACTTTACGTTTAACTCGCGGATCCTCGCATGGATAATTTTATTTTAATGATATTTCCGCCTAATACGAAACGCAAAGAAAGGAAGAAAAAAAAGGGTAAGTTGGAGCTTCCACGCGGGTCACACTAGAGCAGCACGGGATACCAGGTCAAAAGGTGGAATCCATCAACCGCACTGACTTGACCCCATCCCGACGGCCACCGTTTCCGTCCCCAATATCCTTTCTTGCACAACCACCCACTTCTCCGCCTTTACCGTGTTACTCCCTTCCCCGCGACATTACGACATCTGATCAAACAAAAACCCCCTCAACAAAGCATATGAAAACGCGTGGACTGTGGACAGGGAAAAGCAGATGACGAAAACTGGCTCCAGATTACTGTGCATTACTTCGCATTCCATGGGGGAACATTTCTGATGCAAACGCATAAAGGTAAAGGAAATACTGATCCTAAGAGAGCGAAAACAGGACACTTGCGTCAAAAATACTTGATAGCGACAAGGTTTCATGTCGAACACAGTCCTCAACCACTAATTCCCAACAGTACGAATTTTTCGGTCGATTTTTTTCATTTCACTAGGACCAAGATGGTCAATTTTTTTTTTCCAAATCGTGAACACTGAGGATATGTATTTTTTTCTCAGTTGCATAAACCAATCACTGTAATTTAGGGCTTTAAAATTCTCCATTCCTTCGCGCGAGCAAGATTTGAAAGAAGAGTAAAAAAAAAACATCGTGACAATGTTTCTTAGACAACGATGCACTTCGTTTTTAGTGATATTTTTTCGACTTGAAACCAAAAATTCGACACAACGGATCTGCGTCAGACTTGGCCCTCTTCCTGGTACATATCCTCAGAGTCCCTAACAAACGTTTTCTCCAGGAGTCTGATAAGAACTAGCCAATAATATTGTTGATGGCTTCTCAAAATCAAAAGTTCCACTTTTCACTCTTGGGCTCTCCTTGCAAAACAAGAACAAAACAACGACAAGCTACGAAGGTACGTTACCACTTCATCAGCTCTCGACCACTTCATCAGGATTTACATTCGGAAAGTGGTCGTGGCATATGTTTTTTTTTTTCATTGCAGAACTTCACGAAGATAAGAAATATACACGACCATGAAATGGTTTCAATTGCGGCGAACTGACGCATCAAATTCGAGACCTTGACTCGAGGTCAGACAAGCTGGATTACTCCACAAACCATTCGCTTTCGTCGCAGCAACAATAATACGGAGAGAACAAGTCACTAATCTTCAAGGAACTTAACTTGACATTAAACGGAACAAGAAAGAACATACTGTATTATATGCTCATGATCGCAATACAAATTTTCGGAGAGATTTGCCGCCGAAATCCACAAAGGTTCTCATGTTTGTGAATTCATGGAACATGCATCAATTTCATGACAGTAAAAAAGGAATTATTTGATTACTTCGGGACGTTAGGTGATGACGAAAATGAGGTTAAAGAGATTCAGCTGGTCTAAGCTCTAAGTTGCCCATCCCGATAAATTTTTTTCCGATCTTAAACCCGATCAAAGCGAACATCAACTGATCCCCGTAAATAAGAACGCTAACACATTCACTTCTCTACTCCGTTTTTCACCAAAACTCAATTTATTTTCACAGAGAAGCAACACCAATTTTCGGTCTGTCCCCCAATAACTTCGTGAGCAACTCACTGGACTTCCGATGAAAATCCTTGCAGACGGATGTCGAACAAATAATGCCACCAACGTCGCTCCCCCCCCCCCCCTTATGAAAAAAAAAGACTCAAATTTCTAAAGAAACAAAGTTTTCCTCATGCGAGGCTGTGGCGTACGTTTCCTGCTTTTTAATGAAGGGGTTACTCGCGGAGTTACCCGACGGCCACCGGGGCTCTCATACTTGCGATTAAAACTCATTTCGTATTCCCCACAAAAATATTAGCGGTCCCGAATCCACGTCGGGTTGTCTCGACTTGCATGCGACCTCACTTTGTCGACGACGAGTGACGCAAGATAAATGAGCCTTTGTCAAGGTCTCTTGAGCTCTTCATAAAAATTCGAAACGAGAAAGACATCCAAAAGCCCCTCTTTCAAATGGAATTACAACAGAAAAGGAACACATCTTGAGACATACAATCGATGGGATTCATGCGACATTCCCTCAGCAATTGATGGTCTCCATCACGCACGATGAAATCGAGACAGAAAGTACCGAGATAAAATGGAAGACTTCGTCGTTACAAACGATGCGCATTTGTTCATCTGATAACCGTACAATACGAGTAAAGCATTGAGGTTCCGCAAACAAAAATTTCTGTTTTTGTTTTTGTGGGTCAACGAGAAATCTCTGGCTCAAATTCGAACATCAAGTGCACAAAACCAAGAGCATGTACAATATACAGCAGCAAGTTCACAAACGCGCAGCAAAACAAGACAAATTCGGTTGGATTGACATATGCGCTCATTCGTGCATATTGCCTTATGTTAACATGCTCATTTGTGCTCATACTGCTTCCGTAATAAAGCACTTTCTTGATAATCATTTTGCACTTCCTCTAACCATTACTTCATTTTGTGTTCTGGCTCACATTCTTCCAACTGATATTCGTTGATTTGTGTGCTTGCTCATTCGTACAGGGACTCCTTTGTACCAGTTTTTTTTTTTAGGTACAACCACATACCACTGTACAGTACAGTACAGTTCTTGAAAAAAAAAAAAAAACGAAAAATAAAAATCCAAGAAATCGCACCGAAGAAATTTGAGCACGAGGAAACCCTGAACGACGTCAACAAATGAAAAAAAACACCACCAACGAAAATAATATTCCCGAAAGGAACAGCAGGTTAAATAACTCCGAAGAAAGAGATGGAAAAAAAATCCCCGGTACACGTTAGGACCCTTCGTTTTCTTCTTCCACGTGGAAAGCTTCAAATATTCTTGTAAAATTTATCGCACTTCCTCCAACGCATTAGCAAGTAATAGCCACCCAAATAAATCTCACGTCAGTTTTTTTTCGTCTCTCCACGGGTGCCAGAAACATATTGAACACATCATCAGGCGAGATGCGAGCCAAATGGTTGGGAAAAACTGTAAGGCTCAGAATCCGCACCCGGTTGAACTGGACAAGCGCCCGAAGAAACATGCGAAACGCACTGAACACTCCTTGATCCTTTCGCTCTACGCTCACGACTCTTCGCGGGTCAAGGGCGGATCAATCGATAAATATATTAACCACCTTCCCCACAGAGGAAAAGAACTTTCCGTCAAGAGAGAAACCCAGCTCTAAAANCGAACATTCCTGGAAGATCAACTGCCTACTGCCCCATGAGCTGATGTTGATGATTTATTCTTCCCAGAATGGAATTTTTTGTTCATCACATAGCCTACCAAGGATACCGTCAGCGTTTGG